ATTGCTGTGGCCCAGAAGATGGACTCTGCTGGTTGCGTGGCCAAGCTCTTGTGCGAAATCGAGGCCATGTCTGCTGACCAGCTCACGCCAGCCATGTCCACCTTCAAGACCGCCTTCGAGGACAACCAAACCCTCAAGGGATCCCGAGGCGTCTACGACCTGGCCATCACCTTCGGCTCCAAGTTCGCCAAGAAAGACGCCAAGGCCTGCGGCGTCCTCTTCGAGAATTGCGTCCTCTCCAGGGATGAACTCTCCGCCATGTTGGACTACTCTTTCTCATGTTAGTGACAGGCATCAGTCTCTAAAAATCAACTTTATACACATTACATTGTCTTTATCAGATGAAAGTTTCTGAATGGAGTTTCCTGCACATCAAGTGTAGAACTTGCTGAAACAACACTTTCATCCACTTTCATCTCATCATACGTTTTATGTGAAATGAAATAGATCTCAGTTATATGTGTCTCCTTCTCCCTTTTATATTCATTACATATGTGGCAGTAAGTTGTAGAAATAAAGATGCGCTGTGTATTCAGAAGACACACGCATACATACACAGACATGTACACACACCTGCATGTACTTTTGCTTGTAGTGGCAAAAGAAAATGGGAAAAACATCATCCGAGCGAATCATGTCATATAATGATTAGGAATGTCACCGTCAACACTGAAATATAATTATGAAAATAGCTACAAATCATTACTGTGAAGCTAAATTCCATAACCGTAGACCTCAAAATAAAGCACTTTATCTTGAAATACAAGGTCTCTCTTTCAACATTCCATAGCTCTGTTCTGTCGCGTGTTCATTTCCATTTTTATCTCTATTCATGTACATTTCTCTTTGTCTTTGTAGCCGAGATCACCGTGTTTAATAATGCCGTTATTAAAGGTGATTGGCATATTGCTCGATACTTCTGGTGCCGGAATGATTCTTAGAGTTGAAATTAGCAGACAAAGAATTAATGATTTTGAGAACAAAAAGTCAGCTTTATAATAGTGATCTGTTAATACTGTTATCGCTGTTTGATATTACTACACTTGACAGCAGTATTAGCATTATCTAGAGAACGGGCAAATATTGATTGAGGGGTGGTGGTGGTGGAGGGGGGGGGGGGCTGCTGGTGGTGTGTAATGAACTCTCCCCGCAACATAAAAAAGAAAATATGTATATATACGCACATGGATACAGTATACACACAGACACATATGTGTATGTATATATATATATATATATATATATATATATGTATATATGTATACACATATATGTATATATACATATATATATAAAATACATGTATATATATGAATATACATTCATATATGGATGTGTGTGTGTACACACACACACACATATATAATATACATATATATAATATATATATATATATATATATATAATATATATGTAGTGTGTGAGAGTATATATATATATATATATATATATATATATATATATATATATATATATTAATATATATATACGTATACATATATGGATATGTATATATAAATACATATGAATATATACATACATTTATAATGTATATGTGAATAATTAGGTTCTTATTATTTGGATTGGTTTAGCCAGTGGGCCCCCATAGTGGGCCCCCTTGGCCATGTCCCCGATGGCCACGTCACGAACCTTTCCTTTGCCACCGAACGAAACCGAATCCTTAAACCCCCGCAACCATCCACTGTGCGAACTACGGCCACTCGCACAATACATCGCTAAAATATTCTTTTAGCGACCTTATTAATGGGTTATTAGAACTTACTCCTTCACAGTATACATACATACATATATTTGTAAAAACATTAATATATATACATACATATAAACATGCATATATAAATAATATTATATATATATATATATATATATATATATATATATATATATATATATATATATATATCAGTATATACATACACATACACATACAGATATATATATACATATATGGATATATATATATATATATATATATATATATATATATATATATATCATATGTACAATACATATATACATATATATATATATATATATATATACATATGTATGTATGTATGTATGTATGTATATATATATACATACATGTAGATGTGTGTGTGTGTGTGAGTTGCGATATGCGATACATGTATTGGCATCAGTATCGCTTTAGCCATTTTTAAAGTGTCTGTGTATCGGTATCGCCTTAGACGATTCTGTTTATCAATGCCCATCACTCTGTGTCTTTGTGTATGTGCGTGTGTGTGTGAGAGAGAGAGAGAGAGAGAGAGAGAGAGAGAGAGAGAGAGAGAGAGAGAGAGAGAGAAACTTCAATAACCACACTAAAATCCTTCACTCTTTTCTAAAAGAATGAAACAGATATTACAATACAGTTACATGATAACAGCACAGTACGAGAGCTTGTACAATTATGTGATCTCCCAAACTTCTGAATGCTTTGGAGTATTCCGAGTTTAAACAATAATACATGAAGTATCATTCATTTGAAATTTGAAACATGTGTATATGTAAATTTCAATGCTATGGAATGTACGAAGGCAACAGCAGGTGAATGCTCTAGAGCAATGTTGTCCAAACAATTTCGTCTATTGAGTGTGTTAGTGTGTGTGAGTGTAAGCGTGAGTGGGAGTGAGTGTAAGTGAGACTGAGTGTGAATGTGAGGGTGAGTGAATGCGAGTGAGTGTATGAGTAAGAGGTATATACTTGATTTTTATCGTTTTTATTAACACGACTTTATTAAAGACGATAAGCACTCACCTACAAACCTCAGAGCTTTTGAATAGTGCCTCTTGTCCTTATCTGGATCCCGATAATCACGATAAGAACATCATCGACAAGAAAGTAAATGATACGAAAAAAGAAACAATCTCACTCATATATTTGTTCTAGAAAATCATTTAAATTCACTAACATTAAACTAACAAACAAGTGTTAATTCAAGGAACTTAATCCAGGAATAAAATGCGATCGTTTCAGAGCTCATCTCGAACCCGATGCTTCGTTGGCTTCTTGGGTGTCTCGCTCCCCGGCTCGACTCGCGGCTGAGCTCCCTGATTGGTCAGTTCCACCCAATAGCGTCCGAGTTCGGTGATCTTCTCGGGGTCCAGGATGACGTTCTCCAGCAACGGAAGAGTCGCCCAAAAGTCTAAGACCTGCAAGGGAGTTCCGGTGAGCAAATTGGTGTAAACGGGAAACAAACGTGTGTTTACCATTGATGAAAATAACACGCAAATATCATACATACCTATATATAACTATGCCTGCATATACGCACATATAGATAATGATTGATGGATCATTAAATAGATAAATAGATATATAGATAGTGGATAGATAGATAGTAAGCAAATAGATAGATAAAGAGATAGAAGAGACACGGAGAGGGGAAGAGACAGAGATATGGAGACTGACAGATAGAAGGATAGACAGCAGAAACGTCTATACATAAATCCAAATTCCAAGCACAAAATCCAATTCAACCTGACCACAACGACTCCTCTTTACCTCCTGACGGCTTTCCTCCTCCATAACAGGATTAGTATTGAGGTTCAAGTGACGGTGACTTGTCTCCTGGGTTATGGGGTCCCACGTGAATCCCAAGCTGTCATCAGGCGTCGGGTTCCTGGGGGATGATGCTGCTTATGTTTCTCTGTTTCAATTTTCTTTATTTTCGCCCTTCTATATATATACTTTTTATGTGCGTGATAAATGCAATGTTTGATGTACGCTAATCAAGGTTTCTGTCTAATTTTTGTTACGGTATATCTAGTATTTTCAAGGCTAAACTATAAATAGTTATCTTTCTTATCTTTAGTACGTGACAGTCACTAGTGCTTACATCTTCAGAAGGGGATACTACTCACATTTTCTATTCACACATGCCAGCAGCTAATTGTACCAAAGTCCTTATATCTAGCAAAATACTCTCTGGCAATTAAGATTTAAAACCCTTACCCAGTGGTGGCGAAGTTGACCCACAGCTTCACCATAAGGTTTCTCATCTTAAGGTCCTCGGGAGAAGGGGAGGTAGGAGACAGCCATCCGGGGAAGTGGTACGCCATGTCGTGTCCGTGACCCACCCCTGAGAACCACAGATACAAATGTCGCATTTAAGAGAAGTGGAATTACTGTTATTGATTCTGATTGGTTCACTTGAATGCAAAGCTTACTTACAAGGCTTATCGTTGAGTAGTGACGGGGTTATTGCCAGCACGCTAAAGTCCCCGTGATGTGTGAATTTGTATGTATAGACATTGGTCGAAGCGTTGTTGCGAACGAGGTACTCAGTCGTGATGTCGTGTGGCAGAACGAAGTGGCGATCACCCAGCATCTGCGAACAATATAAGCACTTCAAAGATTGGAGCAACACCACAACCGTGTTCAGAGGCGATCCTTTGCCAGAAATGGCGCTCCACACCGATCCCAATCGCCGGACGGACCGGATCACACTCAGCAGGCGGCTCACGTCTAATGATTTTAGGTAATGATTCCGACCATATACATATAAAATATAAACAAAATAACAGGTTTCCTTTCCTCACATCTTATGCTTCCTGAGCGTCTAGTGATTCCATAACCGATATAAGCCACTGAGTATATACGTCTTCTACAGTTTCCCAAGACGTACACACAACTCACCTCGTTAACTGCATCTGCATGAGAGAGGGTGAGATGCGTTGCGCCTGCATAGTGTCGGAAGATCTTCTCACTGGTGGCGCTCAGGTCGACGTCCCCCTCTCGGAACTCGAGTATGATGGGTCCTTTGACGGCGAAGTTCTTGCTGAAGTCCTCCAGGATCTCCTCATCCTTGTAGATACCTTCGGGGGAGTTTTGTTTATCATTTGTCTATCAGAAAAGCTTAAACGTGGACAAACAAGAACGTAAAGGTCTGTAGAGAATTGGGTACTTCAAAGATTTGAGATATAAGCACCGGGCGCTGGTAGCTTGATTTCTTCCTTAGCTGTACATTAACATAAGCGAAGCGAAGGAATATTTCGACACAGGAACAAAATTTGGTTAAACGAATTGATTCAATCTATTGCCGTGAAAAATAACACAATAAATCCTTCCTTCCCTTATTCACTATCATCTATCCGTTCATGAGATTCTTGCTTCACAGTAAACCCTCCTTTTCCTAATAAATCATAAACCATATGATGTCCCTCCGTCGCCATACATCACTAAGCTTCCGAAGCTCGAATCTGAAGCTAAATTGGCGATTACCTGAAGAGAAGAGACTTCCCTCGTGCGACGTCACCCCCGAGATGACATCGACGTGTTGGTGACGCCCTTCTTTCACCAGTCTATAAGGGTTATCCGGGATGAAGTCTTTGTCCACGCGCGGTCCAAAGATAATGGGGTTGATGTGAAACGCCTGAAAAGTTAGTTTGATTATATATTAATAACAAGTAATAATTACCTTTAAGTAAGTATTAATAAGCAAAGATCCATTGTGTATTACTGGTTAACAATAATAAAGAAAATAGTAAGTGTAAAATGACGATGTAATGAATCGTCAGTGAAGAAATATATGATAATGATAATGATGACAATGGTAATTATAATGAAAATGGTGGTAAACTATAAATAATAATAGTTATGAACGGCAATAATAATATCAATAATAACAACAGTAATAATATTTAATATTGTTTTACTGCTTTAACAATGAAAATGAAACTGAATAAGAAGCCCTCACCATGAGCTTCCACACGACGGTGACCAAAACATCAGTGTCGGCCTCCTGCAAGCACTCCAGAAGCAGCTGACTGTCGGAGGCGGAGCAGCCAACTAGAGTCCCCGTGTACAGCGCCACCTCCCTGAAGGCGCCGCCCGTCGCCCACGGGCATAGCGCCGACCCCGACTGCATGATCGCCCGCTGGAAGAGCCCTTAAAATGGGACGAGAAATAAGGAAATGTTATCGTTTAGTTTTGGCTTCCTTGCATGATGTCTTGACCCTCTGACAGGTGCCACTTTGGCTTTAAACGAGTGGTTTTCAAACTTTATGAGTCCATGGTCCACTTTTGGCTTGTCCAGGTGCTCATCTGCCCTTCAGAATGTGATGACGATAATCTTGCCTCGTAGTTTGAAAATCACAGCCTTACATAGTATCACGGACAGCATATGCATGTGTGTGTAAAGTTGGACCATTTTTCCCCTTCCTTTCTCTTCCTTTCCCTTGCTTGCCTCCAGTCACAAGCACAGCTCACCCTCACTATGCGGCGACAGGATCTGGTAGTGAACGGAAGCTGCTCCTGCGCTGAGCCCAAAGACCGTGACCTGGCTCGGGTCACCGCCGAAGTGGCGGATGTTCCTCTGCACCCAGCGGAGGGCGAGGGACTGGTCCTTCAGCCCGAAGTTCCCCGGGATCACTTCGTCCTCGGTGGAAAGGAATCCTGGAGGGGGAGATGAGATGGAATGCGTCACTGATTTGATCTCATATATATATATATATATATATATATATATATATATATATATATATATATAATATGAATATACATGGTGATCGCAATGCCAATGCGTGCATTGGCATTGTTATTATTAGTAGCAGCAGTAGTAATGATGATAACAATAATGACAATAATATAAATCACAACTCAATACTATTCACCCACTAGAATCATCCACCGCTTTTACACAATAACACCAATTAAACCAGCAACACTTAAATTCCCTCTACAGCATCGCCCTCACCGCAGGCCCACCCTCACCCAGAGTGCCAAGGCGATACTGAATGATAACCACAACGACATCTCCGTCTAGTAAGACATTCGCTCGACCGTAGTTCGCCGAGCCCGCGAAGAAGGCGCCCCCGTGGATGTACACCATGACGGGCAGGAGGTCGTCGCCAGCGCCCTCGGGTAACTGTGTGGTCGGAAATACGGGGTATGAGGATTATTAGACGAAGGGAGGGTGATAAAGATGAATGTGAAGAGATTGGTGATGATTGGATGAATGTAATATGATCATATTAACACAGATGTATTTAATTAGCATCACCACTAACCAGATATTTAGCCTATCATAGAATATAATAATCAACCTTCTAGTCATTTAAAATAGTGCTGCATCTTCGCTTCGATAAAAATGAAAATGAACGAATTTAGCTTAAAAATCACTTATATTAAAGAGAAAGAGGATAATACAATAGATAGGAAAAATGAATAAGATATATATGAAATGGGGTAAAACAAATAAGCCAATAGTTAACAATTACAACATTTAAATATAACATAAAAATTGTATACTAAACAAATATATATAACATAGAATAAAAAATAAACAGTTTATATTAATTAACCAATGGCCTGCACAGGTGATACTTATTTACCATTTGCCTTCCAACGTTGGTCGATAATGGTTCCTGTACTACGAGGGGTGCTAAATAAAAGAAGAAATAAACTCATGCACGGGCAAATTAAACAATTAATAAGAGTTAGGCTATCTTAAACAACCTTAAGCCACCTGAAATCACA